CATGAGAACTCTTAGTATGATGTAGACAGAGCCATCTTAGCAGACACATTCAAACTCTCAGAAGAGCCAGCACAGTCTGATTGCTCCTGATAACTCGGTAGCTTCAACATGGAAAGCGAACAATAGAGCAATCACAGGTTTATATGGCCTCCTAATGAAACACCATAAGGCAAGCCATCCCAAGTGGAATAAGCCCCAGATATACAGGGCAGTCAGACATCTGATTAACGAAAACACTATCCCAAAAGAAAACTGACTTTTGCCATGGTCATTACTTGGCTATCACAGTGCCAGACAAAGAGACTGGAGAAATATTTACCGCCTTGTATGGACTGAAAATATAGTGACTGGAGCCAAGTTTGGTAGAAGAGCCCTGTGGGGCTTCTTGAGTTCAGAAGGCATCTGAATGAAATGTTTGTCTTGAGTCCCATAACAGCTCCTCCGAGTTTTTAAGTCTGCAGGTTGCCATTTTTATTACTAAGCCTGAACCAATACCCTGAACAAGTGTTCCTCAAATACTCGCCAAAAATGGTTTGCAGAAGTGACACTGGTATGCTTTGCACATAACACCAGGACAGGACTACTTAAAGGGTATGCACAACGGACTTGAATTTTTAGTAGGTATTTGCACCTGCAAAGTGCAGGCAGAGGGTCACAGATACAGATGGGCATAATTCTGAGCAGGGAGTCGAACCAGATCCAAACTGGTTTAGACCAATACCAAACCTGTACTTGATTTTCGTCCTATTTGCTGAACCTCAATGGGAGTGGAACTGGGGGGAAAATGTCTTGCTGGTTCAAATAAAGGCTCAGCATTTTTAATTATAATATTTTATAAAGCTACTGTGATCTTATTTTCAACAAGACAACAAAGTAGGCATGTGATGGCAGGGATTGATCCATTGGCCGTCGATTTATTGTGTCTGCTTAGGCATGATAAAACTACCTTTGAGCGCTCGCCCCTCAACTCCTGTACTCCACCAGGAAGAGGAGGTGGAGTCAACGGGAGAGCAGACTCTGCCTATCTTATCACATGCAAGACACTGTGGTAAAAAGGTCTAAGTAGGGTTGCCAGATAGTTTCACAAAAAATACCGACCATGGCAGGAAAAAAATTGGTTGAGCAAAAAAAACAAAAAGTTGTTGAGCAAAAAGAGTCACAGCCCCTTTATATCCCTCCAAACTCTCCCATACTCCCCCTCTCCCCCACCAGACACAATGGGGGAAGAATGTGCCAAGCGACCTTCCGTCCGAGAGAAACAGAAAATACTAGACATTTTACATGTCCGGTATTTTCTGAGGTTTTTTTACCGGACAGAAGCCACGAATACCGGGCTGTCCAGTCCAATAACGGACACCTGGCAATCTTAGGTCTAAGTACGACATCTTCAGCTATGCTATTCACGTAGCCGAAGTTGTGTATCTTAGATTGACTGACGGGGGAGCAGGTGCAGTGTAGATCAGGCCTAAGATGAGAGTGAGAAGAAAAGGGTGGCCCATGAGAGTACACAGAGAAGTGGAAGCTTAAGCACCACATGAGGCAGCAGGATGCCCTAGAGATAGGTGGACATCTATGAGACCCCCTCCAGAGGACAGAAGCGATGGAATGTTTCCTTGTCCCAGAAGCTAACAATAACTCTTCCAGGCTCCCTAGTCATCCTCCCCCTTAGACTCCCTCCTCCTTCCCACCCCAACCTCAGGGGCAGCTCCTCCTTCCAGCTGAGGCAAGACCCACACGTGCACCAAACTCAGATTTATCCTTTCCCTGCAGAGGCCCAACTGGACAGAGCCAAGGTTAGAAGATGTTATTTTAGTTCTCAAATATAGAAAAAAAAATCATGTTTCTATAACAACCCAAAAGCACTAGGAAAACTCATGTACAGTTAAAGGTCATAAATAAATGGTCAAAAAGCAAAATGGCTTCAATTTTCAATTTCAGCTCTCCTTGACTTTATGTCCAATGAAACTCAAATGTGTGAACCTGTTTAAAATGGAAACGGGGCCATTTTTTAAAAATCGGAACACGATGAACGCAACAACTGAACCAAAACGAACACCAGTTTGACTCCCTGATTCTGGGCATGCACAACTGGAGGCAGACCAGCTGACCTGAATGTTTATCCCTAATACGGAACTTGTTGACTGCTTCCTTTATGTCCAATTTTCGGTCAGCAATGGATATTTATGAGGCAGACACCATCAACGCCCTTTACCCAGCCAATGGATTCTTTTATTCACGGGAGCAGGTAGCTGTTCAGCCCCTCTGAAAGACAGGCCACTTGTATTTACAGTTACTACAGGGATGGGTGCTTGTAGTGGTCTGCATGACATTGTGGCGGTTTACACAATGCATTCCACACTTCCCAAACAGAGAAAGGCAGTTTTCTGTTTTCTTCAGGATTTCTGCTGCCACCACATAAAGGCGTTTTCTATGCAGTATTTCTATGGGCTCAGGCTGTGCCAGCTTGCTGCTCCTCACCCGGTGTTTTCACGCCAGCATGGACACGGGCCATATCGTCTGCTCACAGCAACCCAGCCACGGCTTTTATTCAAGCTGGTGAAGGGATTTTCATATTTTAAACCACCATCCCATCCTACTGTCACTTCTCTCCCTTCTTTAAGAACCACTTGTGTTTTCTCTTTAAGCTGATGTTAGAAGCCAAAGATCATAAGCCGGGCAATGACTGTATAAATAAGAACAGCATTTACTCTTCTCTGACCTCTTGGCATAGCTAGTTCAGAGAATCACCCTGGACAAGCTGGTGTGACTTGTCTGCAGATTTCATGCCACCTGCCTAGGGAGCAGGACTGTTTTCAGTATGACTCAGGGATCTCTGTCCTGTTGCTGACATACTGGGAAAACTTAAAAAACAACGAATAGTCTAGAACAGGTGTGGCCAACCCATTCTGGAAGAAGAGCCAAGATCCAGCTGGATACAGCGCAAAGAGCCGGTGCAAAAAAAGGTAGAGCAAAAAGAAATAAAATAAAAAGGCACCCCAAAAAATGGTAGAACAAAAAAAACCCCCAAAAAACCGACTGGCCCTTTAAGAAGGCTTTTTGGCCTCAGCAGGCTCCCATCCGCAGCTGCCTTTTTGGATAAACCTGCCCCAGTGAGCACAGGGGAGTTGGGAGCAGCTTCATAAGCGTAGCCGAGTTAGTCTGTAACTGGAAAAACTTAACCCTCCCTACCTCCCTCCCTCCCCCCGAATAGTCTAGCAGCACCTTAAAGACTAAGAAAACATGTAGATGGTATCATGAGCTTTCGTGGGTACAACCCACTTCTTCAGATGATGGGTTGTACCTACGAAAGCTCATGATACCATCTACATGTTTTCTTAGTCTTTAAGGTGCTGCTAGACTATTCGGGGGGAGGGAGGGAGGGAGGGAGGGTTAAGTTTTTCCAGTTACAGACTAACTCGGCTACCCCTCTGAAGCTTTTAATATTGGTGAAAGTGTGTCCTCTCACTAGCTGCAGAGTCTACGGTGGTGATGAACTCTTGGGTGGCTTCTTTTGGTTTTCTTTCAAAACATGCTGTGAAAGCAACTGTGATTACAGCAAAAGGGCATTGTCTGTCGCTGCCACTCTGTTGTAAGCCAGAAAGGACTCTGGCAACAGCCTTTGCTTTCCTGCTTACTAGCCGTTTGCACAGTTGCTTTCACAGCCTGTTTTGAAAGAAAACCAAAAGAAACCCGATGTTTTAACCCTGCAGCCCAGGCCATACCAGCCTGAGTAAATTGACTGGCCTTTGAGATGTGGGGCCATGGGTCTTCCATTGCTATGTAGACATTACCCTAAAGACTTCTGCATTTGGCCCTATGATCTATGGGGTGGCTAGAAACATTGTCCCATCCAAGTAGACATCAAGGTGAACAAGTCACTTGTGAGACTTCTACCATTTCCAGGGGTGGCGGCAGCCCCTGTATTAAAAACTGCACAGCATGCCTGTCATCCTCAGAGAATGACCATAGCACTGCCACCCCTGGAATGCGGCTAAACCGAGAGGAAGAATGTCTGCTCCCTAAAGAAATCCGTCTGTGACTCCCAGAGCTGTGATTTCTCTCGCCGGGAATTCTGCCTCCTGCAACAATTAAGCCTCCTCTGTGGTATAATTTAAATGAAAGGATTCTTTTCTCAAGCCCTCCCAAGCCTTTGCTGTTTGGCCGTATCCTTGACAGGCAAGAAAACAGACAGACCGCCATGGCCTCATTTACAGTAGCCTGAAATGGGGAGCATTGTGAAATGGATCAAAGGCAGGCAGGGGATGCTATATTTGACTTTCCAAATTTAGGTGAGCCTGAGGATCCCATCATCAGTTCCCCAGAGAGATAATTTAATAGAGAAAGGACTTGAGGCTCTATTAATCTAAGTCCTATCATTCACCTTCACTGCCTTTCAGGGAAACTGAGCCACGTGGCTATTTTAAATCTGTGTCCAAACTCCGTCTGACCAGCGTTTGTCATTCTATGTAATCTGGACAAGCAGAGTAAATGGCAAACTTGCCATGTAAGCTCGGCTTGTAATAAAGCTCACATGTCAATTTGAACATGTGTCTACATGAGCTTCCCTTGGGCTACATCTACATTGTGTTCTCTTGTACAAGAACATATGCAACTAAGCGGCAGAACGGCTCTTGCGCAAGAGGGGTTTTTTGCACAAGAAAGAGCAGCATAGACTGCTCCTTCTTGTGCAAAATGGTGGCTCATTAAGTATGCAAATGAGGCGTGGCGATATTCATTGCCACGGCTCATTTGCATATGTTCTTGCGCAAGAGAACATAATGGAGTGTTTCTGTGAGTCACATGACCAGGGAAGACCGCCCTTCACTTTTAAAGAGACACGTGACCACAAACATGGTACTTTATTACACGGTGCTCTGTGATATGCCAAACACACATCAATGGGGTGTCTGCGATGGGGAGTTTGGAACAGGAGTCTGTTATAGTCGGCATGCTTTGCAGGATGCCTTTGCTGATATTCCCAGCCCACAGGCAGATCTTACCTGCTCAGTGATGAAGGAGCTTGAAAAGGTGATTGCTGACCAGAAGAAGATCCCGCAGCTGAGAATGATTTTCCTGTTGAAGCGGTCACCAAGGTAACCAAATATAGGCGCTGCCACCATGAAACTACAGATGAAAACTGCAGAGGGGAGAGAAGCAGGAGGACAGCTAATAAATATCAGGCAAAAAATCAGAAACCTAATAGTCTGGAGAGTAGTCCTGCCTAACTGGATGCTTTGCAGCCTTGATTTACCATGTTAGGCAACCCGACAGGCTTCCAGAAAGCACAATTTCTATACGCAAACTGACATCTCATTCCCAGAGAAACACTGGACTCGTGACCTTGGGTTACCTTTAAAACACTAACAGTCCTGAGAGAGTCTGCTGCAAGCTTACAGTTGAGGGATGGGCAAAACAGAGATGGAATAGATCCTGAGCCTCTGTTCAAACGAGGGATGTAAAACCCCATTTAAAATGTTAAACGACATGTTAACCAGCCTGCCGTGTCACACCGTGGGTAGGGCACAGCGGGCCTGGCCAGACAGGAGCACCCCGCTGCCTGCAATGCAGAGGGCCCAGCCGAGCGGCTGCGCTAGCCGGGCCAGGCACCAGTTAACGAGTTACCCCTTTATTTCCCTAGCTCAAACCTCAACAAGAAGCTGAGACAAAGGTTTGAGAGCATTCAGGAAAGTGTATAGATGTTGGCCCTCTTGGGGGCTAGCTCGGCAGAGGTGAATTACCCATGGAGACTCACCCTTAGAAGTAACTTTTTACGGCAGTGCTGTGGCGGTGTGAGAGTCGTTTCCACACCATTCCCTTACTGCCCCCGCTGTGTGGCTCCAGGACAGCAGCTTTACACAACACTAAAATCACTTTTCTTTAAATTTTTGCCAGACATTGTATGTACCAATAGTGGGTAACTATTCCACTACTGGGGACAGCTTTGATCTATAAGGGTACATCCACACTTGCTCCCTCATTTGAGCTAGGGATGCAAATGTAGGCCACCAAAATTGCTAACGAAGCAGGGATTTAAATATCCCGCGCTTCATTAGCATGATCTCGCCGGCGCGTTACTCCACTCAACAGCCGATTCGAACCAGGAAGTGTGCGCCAGGATGCGTTAGTTCGAACCAAGCCCCTCCTCAAAAAATGAGGAGTAATGTTAGTTCGAACCAAGGGGTTTGGTTCGAACTAACGCATCCCAGCACGCATTTCCTGGTTCAAATCAACTGTTAAGCGGAGTAACATGCCGGCGAGATCATGCTAATGAAGTGCAGGATATTTAAATTAGCAATTTCGGTCGCCTACATTTGCATCCCTAGCTCGAACTAGGGAGCAAGTGTAGACTAGGGAGCAAGTGGGAAAACCTAAGATAATAGTGTGGGACCTCCTTATCCGAAAAGCTGCCTTTCTCCTCCTGCCGCTCTGACTCAGTTGCCACTCATACAAGGGAGGAGGCTGCTAGCAGAGCATCTTCTTCTCAGCTTGGAAACTCACTTCTAGAGCCATGCTCCAAAACAGCACTTGGGTCATGTCCATGATAGATCTCGGGACACCCCCGCAGACCTCTAGTGCACTAAAACGAGTTTAAAAATCACTCGTGTCAATTTGGCTAGTAAAGAAACATGTGAAAATCGATACAAGAAAGATTTAAATCAGTGTGGATCTACATTTGGGGTTTGCACTGGTGCAACGACAGCGATTTTATATCAATTTAGGCACAACAGGATGGTTCGTTGCCCTTTTAACAGTGTTTCTCGAATTTTTTGGTCTCAGGCACCGTCGTGCTCATTTCCTAAATTGCGTCAGAGAAACAGTTAAAAGGCCCTAATTTACTGACCTCCAGAGCATGCTGCAAAGCTCCTGTATTCCTTGAGCTGACAGAAAATGGGGGGGAGGGGCAAATTTAGAGACTAGAAATAAGAAATAAGGGTTATAAATCCTATTAATTATCAGGTGACTCCTGGCAGGCAAGGTGGGTTTCTGGCATTGTTTATTTGTAGCATTCTATTTTGAAATTGCTCAGAGGAGCCTGTAGAGTGAAGGACAAGGACTCCTTCTGATGAAATGCGTGTATAAACAAAGTAATTAAGGGATTTTCATGGTAATAGGAGATAATATCCTCAAAAATGTGTACAATGCTGAACTGCAGGACGCTGTTTGAAGAGGCACAATTTCCATACTAAAATGACTAAACCTTCAAAAAAAATACATGTTTCTCAGCTGATGTCCATATTTTGGAATCCATACAATGGTACTTTATATTTTATCTCAATTTTTTATATGTCCTGTAGTAAGCAACATCACAACGCAATCATGTATAGTATATTATATCAAAGAAAGGAATAATTCAAAGATAAAGACTAGATAAAATAGAAACAGAAATAAATGCAAGATTATATCCATGCACCTGTTTCACTTGTTGTGAAAAGCCACTATTTTGCTACATAGGCACTATATAAAATCTCACACCGGACACATGGGGTGCATCTGCACTGCACCCGTAGCTCGAAACAAGCTACGCAGTTTGCAAATTGCATAGCTTATTTCAAGTGTATTTCAAAATAGGTTATTTCAAAATTTGGCACTGCTTAGACAGCGCCCAATTTCAAAATGAACCACTATTCCAAAACGTCCCTTAATCCTCATGGAACAAGGTTTACAGGAATGTCGGAATTGCGAGCCCGTTATTTCGAAAGCTATTTCAAAATAATGGGCTTGCTTAAAAGACACGGATTAGCTATTGTGGGATACCGGACATACTCTTGGAGCCTAGTTCGACAGTCCCGGCACAAGCGGAATTTCCAGTGAAATTTGCTATTTTCACTAGTAGATCTCAAAGTGCTTTATCAAAGCAGGGCAGTATCATTATCCCCATTTTGCACGTGGGGAAATGAAGCACAAGCAGGGGTATGGTTTGCCCAAGGTCACCCAGCAAGCCACAGCCAGGAATAAAACTCAGGTCCCCTGAGTCCTCCCATCCCTGTTCTATCCGCTACAACATGCTAACTCCATAATAGGAAGGCAAGATAAGGCCAGCTGCTAGCGGAGTTATCAGGAGGTGCTGCTCCTCCCTTACTGTAATGCATGGTGTGAGGAAGTGGGGAGTTTTGGGGGTTCAATGGGGGGTTACATACAGCGGGGCACTCAGTGCCCAGAGGTTACTGGTTTAATGTGACAAGGGTGGGGAGTTTGTTGTTTCAGAGAACAGCCCAGAACTGGAGCTGCCACTGCATGGGCTGCAGAGGAAAACCCTGGCGACCGGCCCAGCTGATCCCAGCTAGGGGAGAACATTGGATGGAGGAGAGAAAGGACAGGCAATGGGCTGCAGAGGAAAACCCTGGCGACCGGCCCAGCTGATCCCAGCTAGGGGAGAACATTGGATGGAGGAGAGAAGAGGCGGAGAAGAGAGGGCCAGGCAACCCTCTTACCTGAAGAGAAGACAATGGACTGGGGAGGGGCTGTTGCTGGGGTTATTGGAGGCTGTGCTGGGAGACGGGGACAGAGCAGAGCAGGCAGGACTCAGCTAGCTGGAGGAGAGACTGACTTGTGGGCTGAGGACCCAGGCCTACTGGCCTGAGAGATCCTGTACAGTGTTCAAAACTCAATAAACCCTCCTGTTTTGTGCTGGCTGATAGTTGCTCTGGTCTAGAGAACAGGGTGGCACTATTCCTTCTGGGAATGGAGGCCCCGGGAGGCCAGAGGGAGAGGGCCCCCCCACAGGGGCTGATGGCAGAGGCAGGCATGCTGAAGGCCCTGAGAGGTGCCGTCCCGTAGGCGGAGGGAAAGACCCCAGGAAAGGGAGTGGAGTGGGATCTCCGAGAAGGGGCTGCTGCACTGAAGAGGGGGGGTCCCGCCCGGGAGCCGAGGGGCCACGTGTGGGCATGACCTGTGAGCCGTGACGCATGGGCACACGCTTCCGGAGGTCCCTGAACACCGTACAACTGGTGGAATTCCACCATGCGCTGGAGCTAGGGACTGTACAGTGTTCTCCATATGAACCACTTACTGCCACTCTGCGAGGGTTCCCACTGTGTCCTCATTGAGAAGGGGTAGGAATGACCTGGGGAGACCAAGTTGGATTCACTTCTATGCTGGCCAATGCCCCCAGTGTCGCTGTAGGAGAACCTTGGCTAATGTGCTGTAGTGGGGAGGATTCCTTGGCCAGCCAACCCACCTCCACCCTCCGAGCCCCTGAGCACACAGCACAGCTACTCAAGCTGTGCTCTCAGTGGAGTGTTTGCCCTGACATGAACTCAGCTTAGAGAGCCCAGTGTGCATTCAAATATCCTCCTCCCAACTCACTGATATCTCCCAGTTCCCAATGGATACCAATATCCTCCTCCCAACTCACTGTTCCCATGGATGACAATACAGAACACTGCCTTTGCTACGCTGGGGCCCTTGCGGAATGCAATGTTGGCAAATTCTCTTCTGAACCAAGCTGTGAGCCTTTTCACAGGTAACAAGCTGACTTGACAGCTCCATGAAGGAGTAAACAAAGGGACAACAGAACCTAATAAATAATAGAGAGCGGAATAAAGCTGTCACAATAATAAATTTAATTTGCATCAGATTATTTATGACCCAAATATGCCTCAAAGCACTGATGGACTCTTAAGCCAATGCAGAAAATGATGGCTGTGTGATCCGTCAAACGGCTCTGCCTGTTAGATGTGTTTCCCACACATCCGTTTTTGCAAGTGCTCCCTGTAAATGACAGATGAGGTTCCTGAACAGGAGAGACGGGTTCAAAAATAACAAAAAGTGACTCCATGCAACTTATAAACTAGGACAGGAAAGCAAAGGAGAACAAATCCAGGGCACTCCCTCCCCCCCACACACACACCAGGCAGGAGGGAACCTGAGCTTCGACAAGGGCATTCATTAGACAGAGGGAGAAGAGGAGAACAATTTGCAGGGAAAGGAAGATCACTGGTCTGTAACGAGTCCAGCTCTCATGCTAGGTCTTCCTCTTTTCCAAGTCCCTCTCTCGGCCTCTCTCCTGACATAGCTGCTTTATCTCAGACCACCGCCCAGCAGTTACCAATTGTCTGCATTAGAGAAAGGACAGTTACGAGAACCTTCCGGCATTTCATTACCCGCCCCCCAATGGACAGCTCCTCTCCCTCGCTC